GGGGGGAGGGGGGGGAAGGTGGGGAAAGGTGGTAAATTCAGCCACATTTCATTCACAAAAGGGATGTCAGTCCTTCCGTGATTGCTACAGTTTCTCTATGAAGTCTCCTATCAAGTATCTAAAATTAAGAATCAAAAATGTAAAGAGTTTCTCATTCATTTAGTGCAGACTATATTGAACGTTTTAATGAAGTGCCGTGATGTACCAAGTTAAATTTCTTGCATCGTTGGAATGCCAAAATTGACTGCACTACTGGAAAAACAGTATCTACTCAATATGGTATTATTTTTAAGTCCCAATATTATATGAATTCTTTTGGTCACAGACCTGTAAGCAGGAATTTACCTTCCACTAATAAGCTATGATGTTCCACCAACCACTAGTCCTCAGTCACAGCCTTCAGCATAGGGGAGAAATGAGCACACAAATTTTGGTTCTCATTCTCTGAATTCCATCTGACAGTTTTTAACAGACGCGGTTATGCACAGCATTTAAAACAAATGCAGTGAGTGTTAGAAACCTGCATTCTTCAGGATTTAAAACTCCCTACTTGTGTCAAATGCAAACCTTTTACCAATTACTTTGCTTCTCCATTTTGATCACAGTATTTACATAAAATAACACAATATATGACAGCAAGCGACCAAAAATATCCCTAAAAAAATCCACTAGGATGATGCCATCCAGTGACCATTATCCTGCTACACCTGCATTTTGAAGTTGGTTAATCTGCCTTCAACGTATAGAATTTTTTGTTAAACACTATAATAAAATGCCATGAATTATCAAGATAAATCTTTTACATAATTTGCTTTAAGACAGAAGCTTTGAAGTTTTACCAGACCTGTTGCTATAAACCCATGCTGACTGATGTTAATTTATTTCCTTCAGAGCTCTACAACAGTCATTACATTATACAAAGTAATCCCTTTACAGTCATAACAGTTGCACAAAAAAACTCCCCATGATTACACATCATCTGAGAGAGATGAATCAAGGTGTTCTCATAAAATGACCTTAACTAAAAACTAGGGGATAATGTCAAATACATCATACTCTCATCATATATCTGTCTCAATCCACAATGGAACTTATCTGAAAATATTTTCAGCATAAAAATCAATGGACAGATTTACACAGCCCTGCTCCACTAATCCGTTCCCCTGGAGCTTCAAAACTCAACAGAAAAAAAAATAAAATCACAGAATAGCTTGTTTTAAGCCTACACTATCAGTCATTTCATATTTCCCTATTTACTAGGTCTGATTTTACTTTGCCACCAGTAGAGGTACGCTCTAGGAAGTACTTGGATTTTGTTTACCAGGGTCACAACTCTGGAAAGCAGTAATCAGTGTAAACTAACATAAGTACCTTTTAGACACTACAAACTGAATCCACAGTTATAAATAAACACTGAAATTTCACCATTAGTCCTCTCAAATTAAGCAAATGCTACTCTAGGGTTCTAAAGAGGTAGGAGCTTCATTAATAAGATGTAGCAACAACACAATTGCTAAATATGTACATTTAATCCTCTTAGTATCAAATATGTTTCCAGCTTTTCTTCTGTGTCCAAGAAACATGAATGTACAATTAATTTGATCAGATTTTGATTATATCAAGTACAGGTTTTACTGAGCCAGTTACTAAAATTCTGTATATTCCATACAAAGATTTTCTGAACACGTAGTGCTCAAAAAACGCATCACAACAAACAGATAAAGACTAAACTAATTTTAGGGAATTAATAAGTTGCCTTAAACAAAAGAGAAAACAAACCCACACACAAATTGAAGTTTTATTCTGGAATAATTGCTCAGCAGCAATGAGAATGTTTCTGTGTTCTCTAAAGGCTGAAAATCTAACTGCAGATCAGTAAGTACACCGACGTATCATTAAGAGCAACACTGTACCTTAGCTCTCAACTTTTCACAGAATAACACAAAGCTATGCATTCACAACTTATAGAAACTTCCACCAAAAATAGTTTTCTGTGATTTATAACAGAACTGTACCAGTAGCACATCAAAGTATCAATGCTGGAGAAAGGAAACGTTCAAGCGTAAACTGAATTTTCAGTGCTCTATTACCTAATGCCTTCAGGAGCTCTTCTCGCACAGCAGAAGTGAACTTTCTGACCAGACATAATGTTGTCATGATAGCAAAGAGCAAGTTGTAAGATAAAACAATATAAAAGTTTCCCAGCCAGTTAAACCTTCCAAAGTCTCCAAGCAGATCAAATCTGGTGATTCCTGTAAAAAATGCGTTTAAAATTTATATCAGAATCTTGATTACATTTAAGAAACACAAAAATTTCATTCTATTACTTTTTTACATACGGAAGCAAAATTCATTCAGACAACAATGTATAAGACACATGGTTAAACACATACGACAATGTTCTCAAGGTCATTTTCCACTTCACTGACCACTATAAAACTGTAAGACACACTTATGTTTCTTAAGTTTCCTAGTAAAATGCTTGAAAAATGTGAATTGAAGTAAATTGTCTATTCTAGATAAGAATTCTGCTTTCATAATTTCAATAAATATAACTAGGGAAAAAAAAAAGTGTTAGTATGAAAACTGCTTGAAATCTCAGTTTCTATAAAATCCTTATCTATTCAAGAAAATGATTAAATGCACCACGGACTTTCTTATTAAAAAATACAGATAGCAAAAAGCCTTTCCATGAGAGCCACAACATCTTACAGTAAACACTAAGCCTCTGTGTTTTTTCAGACCTACTGCTTTTGAAACCTAAGTTTAAAGACACCTTTCCAAACTGCAGTTTTTCTCCCAGACCTACCCACCACTACAGCCACAGAGCATTTGCACGGAAGGAAAAGAGTTTGTCTGAAAGACAGTGCTGACAGGTCTTCTTCACAGTGGACCGCATAACACTAACACTTTGGCTTTGTACTGATCAAAGGCGAGTCAATCACTAAAGCTAAGTGAGCCAAATTCTTCCGGAAGTGTCTACAAGCTGTAGGGTCCATCCCAGAAGGCTAAAGAGGAAGAACCATAGGTTGTTCCTTTGCCAGGTCTACATCAAGGACTGCAGTGAGTAAGGGACAGGATATTAAAATGATACCCAAGTAACAGTTGTCTAGGATTATATTCCCAAAAAACTTTGGCACAGATGATGTCACAGTGGTGTGCGTTCTCACAGTGGAGACCAACAGTGCAAAGGAAGGAGGCTTACCTCACCCCAGAACTAAAACATCAGCAGAAAACTAGGCAATCAGAAAATAATCCTGGCTCTGAAGCTCCTAGGAGCAAGTTTTCTATCATAAAATTTTGAAAGGATTTGGAGGCTTTTAGGAACTGTGACTTCAACAGTGATAATAAATGGTAAGAGACAGAATTAAGGGTCAGTTAGCTTCCTTTTAAGGGTAAACCTGGCACTTAGGAATCTCATTGTACTCTGATACCCAAGGCTTGCAGCCAGCCATCACAATGTTAAAAGATACACACGTCTTATACTCAGCATCAGATACTTAAATAAAAAATATGGGAATCAAATTTGGTATCTAATGAAAACATGTCAAGATGAAGAAAATTAGAAGAAATTTCAACAGGTAAAGCAAAAAAATAACTGAAGCTGATCAAAATATCAAGAAAGGCAGAGGGAAATACCAAAAAAGCACATAAGGTCTTAGCACCAAAAAAAAAAAAAAAAAAGGACACTGGATGACTAAATTAACCGGTAAACAGATGTAGCACAATGAACACAGAGTTGCGTTCACACTTAAAGGCAAACAGTGTCCTTAACATTTTCCAAGAAGGGTGTTTTAGTCAGATGCAAAGCTACAGGAAAATTGAGAAAGTCAGGTTTGAACATATAGGCTTCCAGACCTTTAAAGGAAAATAAACAAAACAGGTAGAGCACTGGGTAAAGAGTTCTCTGGAAAAGAAATAATAATCTTTGACACAAAGAGGTGCAGAAGAATAGCTAGCAATAGAGCAGGCATTATAAGGATGAACAAAAATGAACCCTGACACTTCTGTTAGAGCAGATGGGAGAAATATTGTCCGTAAGTTACATTCGTTTTCTTCTTACAAATAAAGGTCACTCTCATCAGAAAAGATCTGACACAGTATCATTTTGTAGATTTGGAGAGAAAAGGGTTAAAGAGCTTTAGATGACTTTAAGTCCATAGACAAAAAAAATTCCACAAACTGCAATTTGAAAAATGACTCAGTAACTGAACAGAGCTACATTATTTGCCAAATAAACTATTAAAGAATTATTCAGGTTAAAAAAAAAAAAAAAGGACTTTTTTTAACCTAAATAATTCTTTAATATTCAAGAGTATATTCTTTAATATTCTAGTAAAACTTCTGTATACTAGAAAATTATTTTTTGTTTGCAATTCTTTGTTTCTGTATTCTTGACTATTAAGTGCCCTATTCCCAATTTGTTTCTCAGTAGTTCGGTGCTGGTGGGAGCCATTTTTGAAGGACTACTAAAAGGCTGAAAAGTTTTGGAAAAAAAAAATAGTTAAGTGAGTTATTCTACTAAAATAAGTTTAGTAAAACCTTTCCTAGAGTTCTAAAAGAATGACAGATATCCACCACCTACATATCTAATGAGAATGCTATGAAACATGTAAAAAATTCCTCTATTTCCATTTTTAAAGCTTGAAAAAACTCAGTATATGTATTAGGTAATTTTTGCTTTTTTACCTTTCCCATAATGATAAAGTCTAGTCTTTTCTCTATAGTTTAAACTCTCTTTTTTAATAAAGTGAAAAGACTATGAATCTGCTTAACATATTTATTTCTTTTCATCTATTCAGTGCCACAGGGCAGTAGCATGTAGTGCAACACATGTTGATATTTTTGCAAAGCACCACATGACTCACTGTAATACACTCTATTAATCCTGTTTGGACAGCTGTGACTGTGCATTTGTTAGCTGTGTGTTAATTGTTCCATCTTTTTTCTTCTTTTATTTATCTCTATGGCAAACTATTCAGGAATTTCATTTGTTAGTCTTTTTTTTTTTTTTAAGTGAGTTTTACCATTAATCTGTTTCCTATGAGACAACAATGCACCCAGCATGTATACTTACTTCCACAGAATCCATTTATTATCAACTGTTAATCTCATAGATCATTAACAATGATTTTTTTTAAAGTGTGATGAATGCAGTAATTGAGTGAGCACAATACTAATGTTAAAATTCTATTCTAAAACACTAATTTTTCAACATAGCATCTTGCTCTAAGTACTAGAACTGTTTTGCTTCTTAGATCTTTTATCATACTGCCCATATTTTAAAACTCCACTACTTTAAATATTTGAATTATTCTTTTGCATTTTTGGGAAGTTTTACTAAAGATTTTTAAAACATGAGCTCTAGAATGTGTATTTTAAGATTCAACCCTCCAAAATGCATTACAGGGGTTTTTTTTAATTGTTATAGAAATACTCAAGTTAATTAATAAAACTCATAATTTGTAGACATACTCTGCAAGAAAATATACAGTATCGTTTACAAGAAAATAATAACTACTCTTGATTTGACAATATTCTGGTTGAAAAGGAAACAGCTACAGAACTACTGAATACATATTACTGATCTGTGGGCCTGAGTTTAAACTCCTAAACTTGTACTTAAGACTTTGAACAGCCCGAGGTGAAGGTTTTTGTTCTGTTCCATTTAATGATCCCAATGAATTTCACAGTAGCTGCAAGTATTCTGCACTACTTAAATATGCAATAACCTTGCAATCTAACTTCAAGAATTCAAATAGAAGATTACCTAATTAAACAAAGTGAAGATACAAACTATTTTGTCTTTATGACTGGTTAAAATAGTTTTCCCACTTTAAATGCTACTGCCAGATGTTAACAATAAAATCAGAACTTCAGTTCTACTATGCTGGATTCCAAATCTTTGTATTTGAAAACTGAAGTAACAAAGAATGCAAGCAGATTATTTTAGGGAAAATGAAAGTATCATGGTATCACTGTTGATAAAAAACTTAATAAAGAGACGTTGTTTTTAAAAAGACATTTGCAGTCAACATTATCTCAAATTTTACACCTGAAGTCCCCAAATGTATTTTTTTCCATAGAAATTGAGCACTGTAATTTCAGTGAACATGAAAATATTTTATACTGCCCGGAACAAGCAGTCTCCATCTCTCTTCTCACCATCTCCTGGTTTTAAAAAGTTTAAAATCTGACCTACCTTTTTTAAACAATGTATTATACAGAAAACGCTTAGCATCTTTTTTTTAGAAAGTCTGTTCTGCAGTTCATGTATGTAGAATACCTGTTCAACAGCTCATGTTGGTGTAAAAAAGGCGACACATACATGCTCTTTCTATTGGAAGTGATGGCAAGTTAAATACATACTATGAAAAGTACAGCTACAGGTTGTTCCTTTTTCTTGGCTTGTGTGTTTTCTGGGGTTTTTAAACTCAGTTAAACATCCTTTATTACAATGTTTTATACTTCCATTTCACTTACCCAGTGTCCTTGACATCACTGGCAAAGCAGAGCTCAGCACCAAGATTGAGACACAGTTTCCAATTATCTGTTTGAAAACGACAAACAGTATTTAAATTATAACTGGGATGGCTGAAGGCAAAAAAAACCCAACACCCACACACACACACAAAAAACAAACCCAAAAACCTAGTCAAGATGAAAAAGAATAATTCCTGAAAGTCACATTCTTCAAACTGAACCTAAAGCAATTTACAATACCATACTGTTAGTCTTGCTTACTTCTGTCACACTTCTCCATATGGTGTTACACAAGATGAAGATGATCCAAGAGACAAGTTCAAAACAAAAAATCAAATATGTAATCATTTGCTTTTAATCAAAGTGTTACATATGCTTAGACTCAAAATAGTTCAAAACTACCATGTTGCAAAATGTCAACTGTTTACTTAATTCCTGCAAACTTTTATAAAAAAGAACCATTCCATGGGTTTAGAATAGATGACTGATACATCAGCTTAAGCTTTGTATGTAACTGCTTGCAGGATTAGCATTATTTAAAAAATTACAACAAAGACCTTCCTTTCAACTGAATGCCTGTTGACTACTTTAAATACTATGAAAAAATTCACAGCTGTTAGATTTTACTCTAGTTTTTGTGAAGTCTTTTTATTATAAAGAGTAATTGAAACTTTCTCTCACAAGGGATCACTTTCTTCAACTCTAATTCTACCAGAATCCAAAAGAAAAAGAGAAAACTTCTTGGAAGTAGGTAGACATTAATGCATTCGCTATTTATTTCTACACTATTCCTGATGTACTGTAAACAGTCAATAGAAAACATTAAGAATATTCCAACTCCCTACTACTTATTTACTATAACCATTCTTGTGTGTTTATCTACTTTCTCACTTCCAATAACTTACGGTAAAAATTTCTTTATCCATTACTCTGAAAAATAAACAAACAATGAAACACATTGAAAAAAATAATTAAATTCAACATCTGTTCCTTGGTTGCTGATCACCTCCCCTTGTCAGCTGTGGGAATATTTTGTCAAAAACCTAAGCATGTTCCTCGGCATTAGGTAACAGCATTTGTTATTCTGAAGCCAGTGCTAAATTGTAGAAAGTCAAATTAGCCTCAGACTGCAAATTGTTGCTGAATAGACCTCCTCAGTCTTAGTTTAATTATTCAAATTTGAATTACTTTGTCTGTATTACTTCTAGCAACCAAGTTCTTCAGATTTCAAACAAGCTCCCTGAAGTACAGTTAGCACAATCAAAGTTACTCATTAGCAATACGTTTCCTTTGAAAAAAGTTCTTTCACTAGCTTTTCTATAGCTAGTTAACAAGCTCTGCTATTCCCAGCTTTTTACAAGTGAATGGATGCCATCCAAACTAAACAGAGCACATCCTTTTTCCCACTCATTCAGCATTTTGAAAATCTTCCAGTTTGTGTTTACGCAGCTTACAAACAAATACTGATCACTGCAAATGAGCCATTCAGGGCAATTACTAACTAAAAGAGTCAGTTTGTCTTGGGTGGCAAGAAAGAGAGGAGGGGGCCATCACCATCACAGACTTTACCTTACCTTTGTCATAGTTGTGTCATCCTTCCTGGGAGTGAAATTTTCAAAAAAACGAAGACTGTAGAAGCCGACGACAGAGGATACCATAAGATAGCTGTGAGAATCAAGGAAAAAGGAACCTCCAAGGAATGCAAGTTTCACTCAAGTTCTCAGCAGTCTCCTAAACGTCTTAAGAACCAAAGAAAAAAAAACAAAAACACTTCGAGTGCTTGAGAAGGACTGAGACCTATCTCTTTCTTCTTTCTAGGCAAGTGTCTTAGTAAATTACCAGTGTCCCAGAAAACTAGACAGAATACTTGTTAACAGATAGAATTCTTAAAGAAAGGATACAAAATCAAAATGATTTCAAGTGCTGCTCCCACAAAACCAAAGGTGGATAGGGAGGCATTTCCTATTCCAGACCCCTACAAGGAGAAAAATGCTTTGCATAATTCAGTAAGATACATGCAACTGTTCATACAGTTAACTTCTACCAGGACTAGAATCCTAACATCTTACATGAAATGCAGCCTCTTCTCAATGTGGTATTTAAGGGGCATTCTGATGTTCTAACCTGCAAGTCTCCCATCTTACACAATTGCATCAGCTAGTTTTCAAACTTGAGTGAAATGTGTTACTAAGACAGATGGGTGTAATGATTCACATTTTATGCATGTTGCACCTACCCACCGTGCTGCATTTTATACGTACTCCATTACTTTGGAAACTAAAATAAACAAACAGTCTCAGCAGAAGACACTTCCCAGTTGTTTACAACACCACTGGCAGAGCGGCCATCACCATTAAACACCTTCTATAGCTCCACAAGCTCACATACAGTCATACACAAGGGAAAGCATTACCAAATTCATAAAAAAAAAAAGTGTCATGATTAAAGACACTACTACATGATGTGCTGTTCTTTACTTTCTCTAAGTACTTCTATAATAAAGGAGGAAAAATGTCATGTTTTCTAAGAGGAACACAAACCAAGACAGGCTTTTCATATTGTTTTTTAACACAGTTTCTTAAATTGAACATTTCTAGTCTGTATAAAAGTAGGAGACATGAGGAAAATACAAACTCTAGGTGACTGATTTACTGGCTCACTGTATCTTCATAAAGATTCTGGACTAGTTTTATTAAGAACTCACTATGACATGTACCAAATGTCTGTGTGCACACAGGACCAAAACCTAGAAGTCAAGTCAAGGTTGAAGTTCATTAGTTTCAATGTTATTAAAGCAGAAGTTCTCACCTGCATTTTTGTAAGGCCTCTAAAGGTCTACTAAAGTTACAAAAATCATAAGAGAAGGTTACTTTACCCTTGATCCCTTTGGCATTGCAGTCTCATCAACCAACAGGTAAAGAATGTTGAGAGCAACTAAGAGGACTGAGATGGACTATAAAGAAGTAGAAACAGTCTTATTATTTATAAGTATTCCACATTTTTAAAATGTATACATTTATCCTCAGCAGATTTTATAATGTTCTTTTAAAATGGTCAAGAAAAGAGTATCAAGTTTGTTGCTTAAACATACATCCCTCAGGTTTTAAAACTATTCCCCTAAATGATTTAAGAATTCATAATTTTTGTTGGGGAAGAAAAAAAGAAAGGAAAAATTCTTACCGTCTCAATCAGTAGCAATATCATAACAGCTGGATAGACTAAATTCCTTTCCCAAGCAGAAGCTTTCTTCCGCCGTTCTGTTCAGAAGAGAAAACCAGAAGCTTAATACCATAGATCACCTTAGAATAAAACAAGGCAAAATCATTCAGCTATCCATAAACTCCTGTTATAACTCTAGGTAACAAAAGTAATCTTATCTTGAACCAACACCGACCAGTTCATAAAAATATCCACCTTGAATAGCTGTGCAAAGCAATGCCAAAAACATGAAGCTGGGGAGACAGATTTTTCTTTCTTGTTTACAGGCACACTTCACCATAACATTTTTTTTTCCCCCTCACATACAGCAGTGCTACAAAGTTAAAGTATACTGAATTTTAAAATATGCTGTTTACAGGTATATTGTATTATGACCTAAAGGGGCAGAAGGGAATTTCAAGTATTTAAACAGCATTTCCCTCTTATAACATAAGGCAAGAAAGACAAAACTAACTCACTGGACATCACTAGCATGTCTAAAAAGAAAACCCAACTTCCTACCACAGTCTTAGTTTTGCACATAACACACTGATAATCCTGCAAGCCTTTGAATAAGTAAGGAGATTCCTGTTGAGTGGCTTCCATTAGCAGTAAGTATAACTTTTCAGTTTTAAGACACAAACCTGCTAAGAATTATTTTACTTTTCTTAAACACAATTTGACTTTTATAGAAAAAATTCAAAATTAGGGATGAAAGTAATGTCTTAGATTATCCCAAATAAGGAAGTCAAGAGCATTACAATTCCTCTAAAATTATGTTAAAAGTAAGATCCAAATCAGAGTCCCTACTTAAATTTGTTTGTTAGAGGGTATCAGTGATTGCATGTAACATTTGTAGAAACTAAGAATTTGAAATGACTGCAAATGCACAAATTTGGTTAAGAACAAACTGGAATCAACCAAGTGACAGCTACAAGCTAAACACAGCTTCTTATGGTCATTTATTAAACTGCAATCCACACGAAACAGTAGAAAATTTTATTACCTAGATTTGTTTTCTTGCTTTTCACTTTTTCAAGCTCCCGTTCCAACTCTGCTGTCTGGTATTCTACCATGGAAGATATACCTTTTAAAACAGAAGACAGTATTTTCTTTTGGATGAGACTGACTACAGTACTGTAAGACACACTGTGACAATTCAGATTTAGGAAGCATCGCATTAACTACTTGTGGCTTTAAACTGCAGGTGTTTCTTTGGGACTGCTTTAACTACTTTTCAAAAAACAGAGGCTTAGTCAAGAACCTTCTAATTCTGTCTAACCAGAAGGTTAACACCAGAGGTTCCACGGTGTGACCTCATGATCCCTGCCTATTCTGTTGACCAGCTGCTGCAAGAAGAGAACAGCTACTGCTGAACTGTCACACAGGTCCAAAAACCAGTTAAGGTGTGGCAGCCTGACACAGAATGCCTCAAATGCCTCATTCTTGTATCTCTATGTGACTCATATCAAGATGTAAAGAATCTCTGGATGCCCTTCAAGGGAATTATTATTTAGCAACTGAAAGACAAAGTGGACCTTTGCCTCCAAACTGGAAACCTCCAGTTTCAGCTTCTGCCTTCCCTCCCTTTCCCCCGTCCTTTTTACTCAGCAAACGCAGTTTCCATACTGCTGACCTGCTTGTTGACATATCTTCTGCTCATATCAGTTTGCCTGATTTCATTAGCCTCTCCATGCCACAGAGCTCCCTCTGACAACCACAGTCAATCTTCCTCCCAAACACGCATGAGACAATATTCTTTCACTTCCCTTTTTACAGTTTACAGGGTATGTACGTCACTGTTGTGCAACTCCTCAAACTCTCCTCTCACCAGGTGAAAACTGATAACCATAGTATTAATACCTCTCCCTTGCTAATTTTCTGCCCCAAAGTTGCTCAGTAACTCCTCCTCTTATCCCTACACAGGCTCTAGGGAACCCAGCCTGTTTTCCCTCTTCATCCTTTTTCATTTCGACCTTCCATTCTCTTCCAACCACTCATGTTTTTGAGAGCAAGCACACTGTGGTTTCTCTCCTTGATTCCAGTTCCTCTGCTACACTGCACAACATTCAAGCAATGACACAGCTCTGAAATGTCGACTAGAAATCTACTATTCCAGTTCTGATCTCATCATTTCTACTCTAGCTTTTGCTCTTTGCAATCACAAACCAGAAATATTCTTCCTAGATTAAACAGAAACACTCTCCACTCAACTTTGCCCCACTTTCATCCCTTTTATTTCTGAATAATCTCACCCAAAAATAACGTAATAGAGTTCATATTTTCCCTGTCTACTCCAGACCAATCTTACTCTGAGGCAATGACAGTTCAGGATCTTAACAAACCCTAAGTCCTCTCTTCTTTCTTGATTTACATTGACATCTTTCACCTGCTGGCCATTCCCTACCCTCAGCCTCACCTTTGATTGCAGGCTAACCTGCAATAGCACCATGCTCCAGATAATTTTTATGAAACCCTCTCTAATAAATTTCTATGAGATTAATAGTCTTGTCCAGGCTTTTATCTCATATCTTTATCATTTGCCTACTAAAACTAAAGAGCACCTAGGTTGCTGACACAGTAACACTACTTTATAGTCCAGTGTCATTATTTTCTTATTTTCTGTTGTCTGTTTATCCATCCATCAATCTCAGTACAAGATAAGAAGACAAGTTTCTCATCCCATCCAACCCCTACATTCTCCATATTCCAGCATACTGATGTCATACCTGAAAGCCAAGATATACAAGAGTATTTTCTGGACTTTTTTTTTAAACTTGTACTCTATATTTCAGAGTATTAGCAGTGATTTGTCCAATTCAGTCAAATTATCAGTGAGGCATTCAACTGTTTCAAAAATTAATTTTTAAATATTTACTTGCATTCTTCTTTCACACACATTTTTGCATATAACACATAACCTCTGTGCCATGCCTAAGCATTTATCTTTGACACCAGTGACATAACATGTATGTAGCAATATTTACAGGGCTTCAAATATATAAATATCTCAGATCCCACGATTAACAAGTAACACCTACGAATGCTGTATTGTAACAACTTCTATTCAATTGGAGTACCTGCAAACGTCAGTTTAATTTCTCAATGTTTTTTTAAACGGGGGGGGTGTTAGAAAAAGGATTTTAAAGAAACAAATCTTATTATCATGATAAAAATAAGCTTTTGTGCTGACACATTCCCTCCAAAAAAGGGTAAAACATCTGTTCTATGGAATGACTAATTACTATGAGTTAAGAAAAAAAGATGGCTATAAAGGTCAGTGGAAAAAGTCTCAAGACCTTTAATGGAAGCAGTTGAAAAAGTAAGAAAACTCAAGTTACCATCTGGCATGTTGTTCTTCTCCTCCGTAATTGATTTAGAGGTCCCTGAGGAAAAGCTTTATTCAAGATATATGTTGCTCCCCGCCTCAAAATAAAAATCCAGAGCTCAAAGCTGTTATTCACAGGACTCTTTCCAACAAAGTCAGCATGATCACATTAGATCCCTAAGAAACACTTCAGTAGAAATTCTGAATCATATTTAAGTGCTGTTGTAGTTCTTCCTTAAAAATAGTAGCAAACAACAGGTTGCTATACAAAGGGGTATTTTACAAGAGGGGAAGGCAGTTTCAGATGAGTCAAAAGAGTATTTGAAAAGGATGCAGCTAAATTCTTAAAAGCTCTATAACATTAGCTTTATTTCAAACATGCTCAAAGTTCAATGTCAGCGCTGTCTAGCCAATAAATCAAATTGGTAGACAAGACTTGTTTGGACTAGCAATGAAAAGTTAGAAGGGATTCTCCAAGAAAGCCACAAAGCAGCTCATTTAAGGTCAATTTAACGGTATTATTCTGTTTTTCTTCCAGCCCCGACACAAGATTTCAGTACCTCAAAGGAAATTGTAAGAGTATCTATTTGCATTCCCCCTAGGTGATTGGCAGTTCAACACCAATTAGTTCAAAATTACACTGTTACTAGCGTGCAATAAAAACAACACCTTTCATCTTTCTTACATAGGTAAGGATACCTTCAGAGCCAATAACTTTGATCAAGTAAGTATTTTTGATCCTACCCCACCCGTCTCTTTGGATTCAGGAAAACTAATAGCTGAAGGCAACTTTTTTCTTTTAATATAAAAAAGTCCCAGCTTTATTCTTCGACTGTAAGAGTGATGTGGGTACTGAAACATAATACGCTGGAAACAAACATTTTCCCAAAGCCCAGCATCTCTTCAATAGATAAAAATACTAGGGTAGATAACACGATCGAACTTTCCCCTCCCTCCTCCTTCAATTTTCAGTTATACACTGTAGACATCTGAGAAGGAAGAAAATTAGTTTCCGCAAAGAAGATATGCAGTTTCACAGATTTATTTTCAAATATGAAGAGCTTTACAGAACACTATCAATTGCATCACCACCACAATAATTATGTCTATATGAATCAAGAACAGCAGCAGCTCACACAGCTAAACTTTTTTTCTTCTCTGAAAACAGAGGTTTTATCCACCCTATTCTGTGGGAACAGTGATTCGTGTTACCCCCTTCCTATGTCCAGGCAATCTGAGGAAACAAGACAGGGCAAAGCAGAACTAGGAATGTGATAGCAATTATTCTACCAAGAAAAAAAAAAATCTGCATTGACAATCATCAAGTATTGCTTAAGCCTGTGCTCTGGTCCTCTTCAATTTTAATAAAGACTCAACTTTTTGGTTATACATATTAAAGTGTTCTGAAATAGATATTCCATTATCACAAAACTGTTACTTAAGTGCATGTATTTCCACTACCACAACTGTGGAAGAGCTGCAATAGCCATGGCAAGGGAAGTGTATAGCCCAATATATTTGCTCTGATACAGCAATAAAACCACTTACACAATCTGTGTGTTAAGCCACAGTTTATGGCCTCTAACATCACAGCACTATATTTACTGATGTAATTAGCACCACACCTCCATCTGTATTCATTTTTTAAAAATGCAATAGACATGATAAGCATGAGTCTTCATAGTTTTGGCAAAAATGGTATCTATTTTTATGGTGTAATTCATACATACTAGAAAGACTTCTGGCAGGGAAGATGAAGCTTTCCATGTTTGCCACATAAATGAGAATGATACTTAAAAATATTTAAATAATTACCCACAAAAATCTTGCAGAGTATCTTCTTGTGCATACAACATCTTGCCCCCCCACCTACATGCTATAGCCAAGTTTAGATTTTTATTTACTTCTCAGTTCAATTTTCTCTGTACACCAAACTATGGGGCTTTCAAGCATTCCTTCAGATGGTGGTGTCAATACCATTCCCTCTGCATGTGAAACAGAAGAATTCAGTTCCCTCTCCTGTCAAAGGACACTTACGCCCCACATCTTTCACCTCTCAAGAGTAGGCTGGTGAGAGCTCTGTGGCACATGGGTGGGTTGCAGTTCCACTTTACATTGAATACTAACTGATTCACTGAAAGAGAATCCAACCTTTGGCTAGTGGTTAGGGGAGTCACCTGCATACGTCCTAAATCCAAACCAAGTTAGTAGATGCCAACAAACAGACTACGTCCACCTCACCAGTGATATTATTAAATTGCAATATAAACAACTATTGCATAGACTTCTATGAAGAAAAACAGCAATCATCACCACAATCATCACCTCAATATCACACTCCTCACCTGAATAGTAGAAACCACTCTGCACTACTAATGGATACCTGAATAACTATTTGGTCATTTTTCTGTATTGCTTTACTTGTATATAAGCACAATCACCATGACAACATAAAATATTCCGTAACAAATATTTTACAGTTGCTAGCAAACATCAAACACACAGAACAATTATAATTACCCCATCACAGCTTCAAAGACTTTCATTGCAATGCATCTTTTTGCGTGTCTGTATATGAATGCGTACATATACGCATGTCAGCATAAAAACATAGACTTCCAAAACAGCAAAGGTGTTACTTTTAAACTGAAACCATGGCTGATTTTAGCACAAACAAGTCACTTCTCCACAAATTTTAAACACTGGAATAAAGACGACCACCGTGATCTACTGTTATAAAAGGTACTTTCCCTGACCAAGCAACTTCGAAAGGAGACTTACTGAGACTTGAAAGAAGAAAAGATTGAGATATATGACAAGACTGAAGAGTAAGAAAGAAAGGCAGTAAATTAAGAAAATTAAGGCTAAAACAAGTTGTAAGACAACACAACAATGGATGTGTCATGACATGAATATTCTTTGGTCTTCCAACCTGAAGCAATTGTATAAATTGTGGATGGATGGCTTATCCATGCAGTTAAAAGCAATTCAGAAAAAAATTTGTACAATGTGATTTCCAGGTTTATAAAATCAATACTTTTTTGGTAAGTGATGCCTGCCATGCTGAATGCTCTTTCTCTTAGAATCCAAAGCTCCATACTGGTTTTGAAATACTTCAAAACAGAAACACCTTTATCAAGAAGTGTAAAAATGTAATACTAAATACAAGAAGTATAAAACAGCTGTATAATTATTCACTTTAACTATTAATTAATAGAATTATTAAAATTAAGTTCACTAAATAGCTCCTAGAACATAAAGGACTGCTCTGATGTTTAATGAATCTAGATTCTAAATAATAATAAACTGAAACAGAAAAAATCCTCCAAATAAAATCCAAAACTCGTAATGCAAGAAGTTGAACCTCTTGCTAATATAAGTTATTCGTTCTTCAGACATGGCTAAAATAAAGTCATTTACCAATCCACACTATTTTGCAGTAAGGGTGGTGGGTCTGATCAACTACTCAATTTACCTTCTCAGTCTCAGAATATTGACATATTTGATCTGCTGTGTTAAAAACAAAAACAAAGCAAACCACACACACTCAAGATCCAATCTTGAACAACACAGTGAACCTAAAATGCTTGTTACATACATGTGGAAATTTTCTATTCTGAGAGAAGAGCTATGTAACACTGAGATCAATACTCCTGGCCAGAACCATGCTACTCTAAATACTGTATTTGAAGAAGTACCAGAACATACCATTAAGCCTCCTCTGAATTGCTTCCTCCTCTAAAGTGATGATATACATCTGCTCATCTAGGTCTTCAAGAATCTGTATTTGGAAACAGAAACATGAACTATCAAGAGTCACTTGTTTTTCAGACCACACTAGTCAGGCTCATTTTGTTCAAGTAACCTATTTTTTATATATATATATATTCTACAACTTTACAGTACTGATAACAAATAAGAACTCCACAAAAGATTATTCTATTCTGTTACAGATATATTTCTTTACAGTAAGCAAACTTCCTGATAAGTTTTCATTTTGGGTTAAAACTCTTATGTTCAGTTTCAATCTACAGTGACTTCGGGAACAGAGGAAGGGACAGCATATCCAACCTATATTCAAGCCATATTAACCTTCAAATTCAATTTGATTTAAACAAAAATAACTGCAGATTTTGAGAAATAATATTAAAAAGTGACTTTTCACATAAGCCAGTATTTCAAGCAAATAGAAATTTCTATTGGAAGCTAAAACCAAATAAATGAAGTCTACCTTACCATCAGGTGCTTTGAGTTTAAAGCTTACAGATAACAAAACAGTATGTATTTTCTTTGTATTTTCAGGGTTAAACTGGCTAGCAAAAAGGAACATAAGACCCAAGTGCACCCGGAATTTTAGTAAATACAAACTAGGAAACATGACAGCAAAGTCACTACAGTGCATGTTACAGAGTACATGGTACAAACTTCTCCCTTCCCTCACAGAATCCAGTACAAGCACAGTAGAGTATCTATGTCTAAGAAGTTCTTACAGATACCAACTATCTACATTTTCACCCATTGAAGTGTACCCCCAGGTACCCCTCTTGATATCCAGCCTTAGTTTGGTCTTGTATCCTTTGCTCATAAAATCAGAACAAGCCCACACTTTTCAGGTATTTGCAAAATAGACATACTAGGCAATACTAGCAATAAATATTAATACTAGAGGCAGTTATATAAATTAGAAAACCAGAGGAAGTCAGTACTAATAAAAATCAACTTTCTGTGGAAAACAACAGGCTTTTGTGCTCTATGAAAAATTTTACACAAATAGACTATGAAAACTGATAAAGAAAATTATGTAGAAGTGCAAGCATTTTAAAAGAAAGTACCCTAATGCCATTCTATCTTCCAACAGATAGCACAAGAGGACAGATTGGTGTAACACTTACTGATGGCTTCACCAGCAACTGACCCATTACTGTAAACATCCGTGAAAGTCCCACTGGCGTGCATACTACAGAAGAAGAAAGAATATGCAAAACAGTGATTTGTAAGACAATGACCAATGTTTAGTTGGATGTTCAATGTACTATTCCACATATAACCAAGAATGGTTTCAAACAGAACTGCAAGAGCTTCAAACTCCAATATGAACTTTAAAACACACTGCTATCATATGAATTTTGAACAAAACAAGCATCTCTCCCCTCCAAGAGCATAACTGCATTTTTTGTCAACAAGGAACACCATATAATCAGATATCTTAAACTTGCCCAAGTAATTATTTATTCAAAGCATGTGGCACCAGAGGCTATGTCTACACTAATAAAGTTAGCAGTGCCAGAATACATTCCTGGGCATTAAGACTTGATTGCCTACACCAGTAAACTGATAAAATTATCCCTGGCATGATTTGCCCTGGGCCAGTTAGCACTTTCCCAAACAATTCTCAGGTGCAGTTCTGGAGTTCGTGCAGTCCAGGAACAGTTATCACGAGGCAATACGTACACAGCCACCTTCTGCAAACTGCAGTATCATGGCTGGAATACTACTGGGCCATAGCACTGGAGAACATCTCAGACATATTTAATCTGTTAGCACAGGTGCAGCTGTGAGATCATGAAGCTGCTTTGCTCTGAAAGTTATACCGAACTTCAGCTGATAGTAGACTCAGCTACCAGATTTTAAGCTGCTTTTCTATGAAATAATAATTGGCCCTTTTTGATCATAGCCTGAGATGGTTTCCAGGTACGGTGCATATATGCTTGTTGGGAGAAAGGCTCAGACCATGATAACAGGAAGTTACTCATAAAAATCAACAGTTTAGAGAGAACAGCCTTCAAATACTGAAGTGTGTAGGAGATGGAAGAAATCTCTAACAGCAGGGGTGAGGATATACATTTATAGTTTCCATTATAATAAAACAGTGTTGCCAAAAAAAAAAAAAAAAGCTGCATACAAGATTTTATAGTAAGGAACACATTTCTTTTTATTAACTAGTGTTTCACTATGACTACTATATGTTCACAGGAAAAATACTTTCAAAAAGTATGCAAAAAGGCTAACTTAAGCTAGTCTTCCTTTACTACAGAGGAAGCCTGCAGGAAAAGGAGAAAGAGAAAGGAAGCAATGCTCCACTCCAAATCACCACTGCAATAAGCCTTACTTATACACTGCTTCAGCAAATAAGCCAGCCGAAGATCTTATGAAGCTCTACCCCAGCATCTACCACTTTCCCACTGCTGTATTCTGTCCTTTCAGCTACAAAGATAAAACAGCTTGGAGGGCTTTAAGTAATTTTAGTGATTTGCTTGTATAAATTAGCAATATCTCTTCCAAAAATTGGCATTTAATCCCAATTATTTTGGTGAACTGGTTTACAATAGTCCCAGAACATACTCTGTGTTTTCAGCTCTGCTGAAAAACTGCAAAACAGATACAGGAAATTTATAAGACAACTTCTTCATTAAAATATTCAGCAACTGTTGTAAATCAGTCTTGAACAGCCTACATGAGATATTCAGAAGCACTTTTTTTACTTCTTTCCCTCCCTTCATGAAAGTGGATTTAAGAATCTCCACATATAAACAACTTCAGAAGACTCACCAAGGTCTGTGAGCAACACCTTTCATAGGCAGATGTGCTTAGTTTGAAGGATGTTTCAAACTGTCATTCCCCACCCTTTCTCCACAGTGGCAGGCCTGTAAGTGTTAGCTGTAAACCTATAAAGCTTGAAGAACATGTGAAACCATAATCTAGGAGGGAAGATGTTCTGTCCCCCTCTCAGACATTTTCTAGAAATTATTTGGGGAGGGAAGAGGGGGAGCAGAAATTACAAGTGGGATTTGGCACCTTCCATCATCTTTCTTACTCCTCTCAACATGGATGACTGAACTCTGGCTAGGACCAGTTGGTATATGCATTTTTTACAGCATTTGTTTTATATGCAATTGTATAACTGACCTCCACACTGGCCAGATAGCTTTCAGAATCACAAAACTGCTAACTGCACTGTTTTACAACTTCTGTCTCTACAGGAAGATTTTCAGTTAAAAAAAGGAAGGAGGACCATTTAATTAATATAGGACAAACTAAGTGTTCCAAAATAACTTTCTCTCCATACTACTGACCTCCTGCAGACATTTTATTTTAAAATTGTGCTTTTGTTTGCAGAATGGAGTCCCTATTTCTTAAGTTCCTCAAAAACTGAAAGTGTAACGTAGCACTTGTTCACAAACGTCAGAAGCCAAACCTAACAAGTTTACATCCAAATTTAAACTTAAGCATGAAGAAAACAAAAACATTTTTCACACTCAACTGTCACAATTTTAATTTTCACAACAAAAAAGTTTCCTTTAATCTTTAAAAACAATAAAATCATTCATGCTTCGGAAAATACTTACACAGAAGTAACAAGCATCCCATCAGTGATATACAGGAATATAAATATGGGAGGTAGTATTCCCAGAGGTCTGTAAAGAAAGTATTGAGCACAGCCTTAGCTTATTACAAAGAGGCTACTTACGTCACATACACAACTAAATTAACTTCTTTTCTTAGGCATTCAGGATTGAACAAACGTATTTTCAACACTAAATTAAGAACTACTCAATAATCGTGCAGGCAGCTAAATTCCCAAGTACTTCAGCTTGAAAAATATCTTCAGCTTTTACTTCCATTCCACTTGAGTCCCTTGTTTTTAACATACATTGGGTCCATATAAGCATGGAACTTCTCAGCATGCCAAAAACAGTATTGAGTAAATTAATACAGCTTCTTCACAACCTGTGCAATACTTGCATAACATTTACTAAAAATACATTTCATTGAAAACATCCCTTTCCATAATTAAAACAAAACTAGTGTGGTGGTTTTTTGAATCCCATACCATACAAAGACTCCATACTGGCAGCATCATTGTCTATGAGTGCTGACGCCACCCATACGATTCCAAGGATAAGCAGTGCAAGAAGAATAAGCATAACAAGGGTTTCCAAAATGCGTGCTCTGATGCCCTGTGGGCAGAAGAGAGAAAAACACAGCCAAAAACTTTGAATCAGCTATTTTCAAACATAAGAAAAATACAAATAAATAGCCGTTCCTCCTTCTTAAATATATACTCACATTTTATCATGTAGACAAAAGCATAACATGTAATGCACATTTAAAAGGTGGTGCATAAAAAAGGAAGTACTTACAGCTTTATAGTGCCCAGATTGCATTTTTCCTCTTAAAACCATAGAAAAATGTTTTAAATTGCATATGCCTTACAGTTCTCATTAATCTCATTATTCCATAAAGTATTCTTTATACCATATGATTTTGCTCAAGCATTTTTAAAAGATGGATTACTTTTCTAATACTTTCAGCAAAGAAAGTGGATTAGCAAATTTTTATCTATGATTCCAATCAAGGGAATGGAAAGCCAATTATGGCAAATAGCCAAATGGCCTAGCAAGCATTAAACCCTGCACAGGTACAATGCGCCAATTTAGTTAAAATACATTCTTCAACTGCAATTGCTTCTGCACCATTCCTCACAGTCTTCAGAGCCCTCAAGTGTACGGTTGGAGTAACACTCGCTCTCAGTCTGCCCACACGCTGCTGCTGCTGCGGCAGCCGCATCATTACCTCCCATCTTGGCAGGCTCGGCGCGGACTGACACACGTACCTCTCGCTTACAACACACACAAATCACAGGTCTACAACGTTATATCTCACAGCATTTGCTCTTGAGTCTAAAAAAGGTAACAATCCTTTAACAGATGAGTGTTAGATTTGCAAATGTAAATATACCAACTAATACACAATTTTATTTTTTTTTTAACTGGTGTTTTTAACACTAATTTTATTAATTTCAAGCAACAGAGCTATTGGGATACTTTTTTCAGACATCCTTGCCATTATGGGACCATCAGATTTCACATAACAATTTTATTTTTCTTCATTTGCCAGTATGTATCTCCACAAGCAAACCCAGTCTCTTGTTTCTCACACAGGTTCACCCCAACTTGGCATATTCTACTGAAAAATCTACTTTATAGTTAAAAGCAGAAAGTTTTACTTTATTGTTTCCCTACTATTGTCACCTCTTCCCTCACTGCTTAACACAAGAGGGTAACCTTAACATGACAATGTTTTCATTACCCTGAAAATTAGGCTCCCTACATAACCACTGCATCCAACCATGAATGAGGACCTTGGGCATCCTAGCCATGAGCACTGATCTCTTCTAGCACATCAATTCCTCTCCACCATCAGTCCTCTGCAGAACAGCTAAGGTATCACAAAGGAAAAACAGACTAAGGAGACCTTTGCAAAATTCCCTTTAAGGCTTAAATGATCAGACTAAGTCCAACTCCATCAAAGATCTCGAAGACCAAATTTCAAATTAAAGGTAGCACGGATAGGATACAGATTTACTTCTAGAATGCATTTTGTGTAGAATAAAAGTGTCTTTGAGGTTGTTAAAAGTTATTAAAATGTTATTTTTGTAGTGCTCAGAAACTAGCTTTCAGTCTTCCATGAGTTATTTTGAAGGTGAGCATCTAAACCAAATTGAAGATTTGAAGATTAACTAGACATATACTTAAAGTTTTGAACTTGAGTAGTAAGTTACCAGGAAACAAACAGGTTACACACTAAGTACTTAACACTGATATAGTGCCTTCACTTTACAACAGAAGAAAGTCACAGGATTAGAAGAAAACCTAAAACATTCCAGGATGCATGCAGAGATCTATTTCAAACTTTCCAAAAACCTTCAGATTCCTTTCCTCTCCTAGAGGAAAATATAAAGCTATCTTCTAGGTTTCTGAAAGCCTTAGCCAGAGAAAGTGGATTCCTTATTTCCCTACTATGCATCACATACACAAATCTCAGCCTCTCTGACTTTAAGCTTCACAGCATTTCTTCTGGACAAACCTGAAAAATGTTTCATCTTGCACGGTGACCTGAACACCAAATCCTCCTCCCTTGGATGGAGTAGCACAATTGTCAAAACAGATAAACAAGAAATACGCTATGATGGAGACAGTCAACTATTTTTTCATATCTACTGCAAGTGTTGTCTGAAGACAAGTAAAGATTAGGACAATACAAATAACACATTCTCTCAAAAAAGAGATGACCACAGCAAGTCCTTGGAGGCAACACTGCTTTTGGCCAGAAGTACCACTGGCACAAACTCGACAGCTGCCTAATAAGCCTTCCCAATTTTTTGGTTTCTATGCTAGTTTGAATAATCTTTGACTCTGAGAAACTTAGATCAACCTCCTCCTGTTCTCACTAGTTACACCTATCTCTACACCCATGTGATACATCAAGAATACTGTAATCTCATGCATTTAGTGAAAAGCAGGACTAACAGTTCACTCCAAGGGCAGAACAATTTTTATATTACATAGCACACACAATAGGATTCACACACCAGTGATCACTTAAAAATAGTAAAATAGTAGTATTTTTAAGAACCTCAGTGAGGTGACTAGATAGAAACATTCCGTCATACACACTAATGAGTAAGTGGTAACAGTCCAGGATAAAATAGAAGAAAAAAAAATAATTAAGATGCTTAAAGCGTGTAGGTATATATTTCATCTCAATTAGCCACCTGAAAGACTGTGCCCTGTTAAAACACTCATGTTCCAGGCACATTAGGTCCAACATACATACATGGGTGTACCTGTCAAACAGCTGCTATTTGCAAGGCATGAAAGGTACAGAATTTCCCTGTATGCACACACAGAAAACTTCCGGAGAATCACAGAATGGCTGAGGTTGGCAGTGACCTCTGGAGGCTATCTGATCCAACCCCCCCTGCTCAAGCAGGGCCACCTGGAGCTGGTTGCCCACAACTATGTCCAGGTGGCTTTTAACTATCTGCAAGGATCAAGATTCCACAACCTGCCTGGGCAACCCGTGCCAGTGCTCAGGCACCCTCACAATTTTAAAAAAAAAAAAAAAAAAAGACGTGAGCCTTAGACAACTTTACTACTTATTTTTGCTGAAAGAGATTTTGTTTGTTCAGGTGAAAAATTTAAAGCTTGAGCATTATCATTAGTAACATCACCAATTTAAGAGCTGAGCAAAAATCAATATCCCTGACTTTGAGAACAGAGGAAAAAAAACAGGTAAATACAAGCAACATTTCATTTTATTTAAATGAAAGCAAAACTATGCAAATAAGCCTTGAAATTCAATGGTTTGGTTTTTTTTTCCTGAGCACAAACCTCTTCACTGACATTTTGGGTCTGGTTAACATTTCTTCTTTGAGTCATTTCACTTCTCTCCCACAGCCCCCATTATATTACTCAGCACAAATATAGGGTAGGCATGAGTGGATGGAGAGCAGCCCTGCAGATAAGGACTGGGGGGTACTAGTGGATGGAAAACTGACTGAGCCAGCCATGTGCTCTCACAGCCCAGAAAGCCAACTGTATCCTGGGCTGCATCAAGAGAAGTGTGGCCAGCAGGTCAAGGGAGGTGATTCTCCCCCTCTGCTCCAATCTCCTAAGACCCCACCTTGAGAACTGTGTCTAGCTCTGGGGCCCCCAACATAAGACAGACATGGACCTGCTCAAGCTAATCCAGAGGAGGCCACAAAGATGACCAGAGGGGGCTGGAGCACTTCCCGTGTGACAACAGTCTGAGAGAGTTGAAGTTGTTCAGCTGGAGAAGAGAAGACTCCGGAGAGGCCTTTTAGTGGCCTTCCAGTACTTAAAGGGGGCTACAGAAAAGATGGGGAGGGACTCTTTATCAGGGAGTATAGGGATAGGCCAAGGGGTAACAGTTTTAAACTCAAAGAGGGTAGATTTAGATTAGCTATAAGGAAGAAATTCTTTACTGTGAGGGTGGTGAGACACTGGCACAGGTTGCCCAGAGAAGCTGTGGCTGCCCCCTCCCTGGCAGTGTTCAAGGCCAGGTTGGACGGGGCTTTGAGCAACCTGGGCTAGTGGAAGGTGTTCCTGCCCAGGGCAGGGGGGTTGGAAGTAGGTGACCTTTAAGGTCCCTTCCAGCCCAAACCATTCTATTGTTTCTTAGATAAGCCAAATGTCATGGCATGTCTTCACAGCACAGAAGATACTGCCACTTCTATTTCACGTAATACTTCTTGTACTTTTAAAATCCATTTAGTCCTCGCATTGTTTTGTGTGAAAAGGAGCATTGGAAGTCCACTATCTTCAAATCAGAAACAATTCCATCTAAAACCGGAGATTTCAAATCAGCTTGTAAGAGTACATTTGTTGCTCAGTCTATACCACTGAACCTGCCTTGAGTATAGAATTAACAAATGTGTATAACATGAAAAAACATGTAGCATAGGTATGTAGGACTACTTCAAATTAGCATTCTAAGCAAGAAAAAACAGTCATACAGCATCAAAATCTTAGCATCAAAAAAGTAATGGTATTTGAATCAACTGGAAGAGTTCTTTGATGCCTCATCTTCAATGTGCAACTGGAAACAAAGGAAACCTTTACCACACAACTGAAGGAGGTGGCCTACACAGCAAGTTAAGTGTGTGTGCACATGCATATGTATGTACGCATACAGGGGCAGGTAAGGAAAGAAAGTGGGGAAGAGTCACCTTTTACATCTGAGTTTTCTAGTTTGGTTAACCAGGAGAAATTGCCTCATGAGTTCCTATGATTACTGCTTAACATTCCTGCTGAAACTAAACTGACTGTATGAGAAATGCCAAAATATATTTTTAGCTTTCCATATTGTAATTGAGAAGGAAGATTAAGTTGCCCAAATCTTCATCTTTTCCTAATGGCTCTGACAGGTAAAAACAAGTAAAGTAAGCACAATACAACCAACCAGCTTGCATCAGGTTTTTTAGAAAGTTGTTCTAGATCTCAACTTTCAAATCTGCATCTGATAACAAAAATACTACTTCACTTTTAATGTGTCCTTCATTACAAACAGAATGTATATACCACAAATAACTCACTGTCTTCTGTATTATTTCAATGCAATTCTACTTGCAGTTTAACTTCTTTTAAGGGAGGAG